CCTTATCTTGAATTTTTGCCTTAACATTCTCTATTGTATCTGATTGTTCTACCTCAAGGGTAATTGTCTTACCAGTTAGTGTCTTGACGAATATCTGCATCAAGGGTAGTGAAAAATTAAAAATAAAAGGCTAATGGAGGCATTAACGAAGTTCTTAAGATCTAAGCGTAAATCGGCCTATTGTACGGCCAAAGGTACGATTAAGCTAAGTAAACAAGAAAAAGGAAAGATTAAGCGATTTAAGGGTAATCAAAGCGTAGGAGTATTTATAAATAGGCGAGAAATGACGACAACGTATGTAAGTAAGACTTTGCCGGTGGGGATTGGAGTGAGTAGTGAGGAGAAGAGTCTGGGGGAGAAGAGTCCTGGGGAGGTAGAGAAGCAAGAGGAAATGGATAGGAAGTTTATTCAGAAGCAAAGAAGACGAATTGACCGGTTGGAAAGACAAGTAAGAGTGGAGGAAGTAGAGGATTTATGGGGTGAAGAGCGAGTGGGGAGTAGTAGTAGTAGTGGGGGTGATCAGAAACTTAGTAGGAAGACTAGTCGGCCCAATGGAGTAGTAGTTAATTTAATGGGTGAGAATGGGGGTGGAGTTGAATTTGGCTTGTCAAGAAGTGATATTTGGAGTGCAGTTCATTTCTACCGGGATGTAGTCAGACGGCCGCGACTAGTCCGTAGTGAAGTAGAAGGACTCTTACGTAAATTAGTAGCTGTAAAAGTACAAGTACCTTTAGGACTAGAATTAGCTACGGAAGTGTATGGAGTGTATAGTTGGCCGGAGAATTTAAGAGGAGTCTTTGGGGCTAGTCGGGGGATTTGGCGAGTGGTTGTGCATGGGAGTAGTTTAGGAGTAGTGGATGAGAGTGGGACTTTCCCGAGTCGGAAGATTAATTTAGTAGTGGGTAGTCAGAAGGAAAGAGTACTAATTAGAGTGGCTTATATCTCTCCGGATGAGAAGCAAGTAGCTATACTGACGGTGGGAGAGGGAATAGTACTAGTGAGGGTTGAGTGGATTTTAGGACTGGGAGAAGTAGAGGTGGATTTAGAGGTGGAGAAGAGTGTACGGTTGTTTATGGGTAAGACATTCCGACGGGGTGCTTGGCATGGGAAGAGTGTTTACTTTGCTGCTATTTTACACGGACAAGTAGTGATAGTTAATACTAAGAAGGGACGCGGGATAGTATTTTATAAGGGAGTCCAGAAGATTCAGCAGGTAGAGTTTCATCCAGTTCGGAGTCTTTTAGTCCTAGTTGGTCCGGCTAATATCTTCTTCCATGATATCTCTACTCAGAAGAGAGAGACTAAACAGACGATTAATCATATTTCTGGGGCTAATACGGTAGGACTGGGTTGGGAAGCAGGTATACTTTATGTAGGAACGGGTACACGACAAGTACAAGTCTTTGGGTTGGATAGTAATGGGAAGACTCAGTTTATTAGGGCTGTGCATGTCCCAGGTATTCCCCGGAGTATTTTAGTGCATAGGAAGGACGGGTATGCAGCTGTACTGGATAGGACGCCTAGTGTACTTGTTTATGGGAATCCTCGGAGTAGTAAGGGAATGAATCCCCGGGAAAGAGCTGGGGCTATTCATCGGTATGAAGAGGCCTATCGAGCCGGGTACTTCCATGCCTATCGGCCTATGGGACAGTTAGCAGCTGCTAATAAGCTATTTACCATGCATGCTAAAGTGCCTAAAGTAGGTTTAGAATTGGGTTAGTAGAGTAGTAGTTAGTATTAGTAGGGTAGTGGTTGGTATGGAGAGATAAGGTATAGAGATATGATAGTTTAGTGAGGCCATAAATAAATACAGGTAAGCTATTTGATTAAGTTAAGTTAAGTTGTGTTAAGTCAGGATTGGGTTAGGATTGAGTTAAGTTGTGTTAAGTTAAGTTAAGATTGGTGTTAAGTTGTGTTAAGTTGTAGTGCCTAATCCTAAAGTCCATCTTAACTAATACTCAACTAATACTAACCTAACCCAACTCAAACTAATACTGAGTTATTAGTTGGTGATTGTCGGGGTGATTGTCGGGGTGATTGGCTGGGGAATTGAATTAGTATTTGGGGGGTGTGTTTATTTGGGTATGGATGGACATAAGATCATTGATGAGAAGGTATTTTGTCGGGGGTACCGGAAGAGATTGAAGAGTTTCTTATCGACGCCTAATTATGAGACGGCGGTGGCTTTGCTGCATTTTAATCCGGAAGAGTATAAGGCATTTAGTGTGCTTAAGGGATTATTAGGACCTGGGACGGCTCAGAGTCAGTTTAGTTTGACTACTGAGTTACTGAGGAAGAATCCACGGGCAAGTGCTACTTGGACCCACCGTCGATTTGTTTGGCAAATGGGTAATCAGGAGTCATGGACGGATGATAGTCAGTTTATTCTAGAAATACTTGATTACGATCCCAGGAATAGTTTATGTTGGGCTTATGTTCAAAGTACGCGTGGTTGTACAGCTGAGTTTGCTAGTAAGATGATCAATAAGTCTCTTTCTAACTATAGTGCTTTTAATATGCTAACTCAGATTAATGGTGAAGATAACCTACCACCAGAAACTTTAAAAGACTTTGTCTTTACTGATCCAGAGATTAGTTCTCCTTGGACATTCTGTCTTGCTAAATCTGAGAAAGAAAGATATGCTAACTCAGCTGTTTATCTTAGAGTTTATACCGAACATCTTCTTTTCTGTCTAATTAAACCAGTTAAATTCATAGCTACTATTGAAACCAAGACTAATCTACCCATTCAATATACAGCTAATTACAAGAAGCAAGTCCCTATTCCTTTAACTGATTTTACCTTTAATGATATAACTCAAATCAAAATCCAACTTCATGGTTTCCCCAATATATCAGTCCTTCTCAACCAACCATACGTCCCCACTCCACCCGACTTCCTATCTGACTTTCTCAAAAAGGAACCCCACTCCCAACCAGCCCTCCTTCTTAAACTCCACTACGACTCCGGCCAAGCCAAAGCCGAAACCATCAAACGCCTTATCTCTCAAGATAAACCCCACGAACTTCTCTACTCCAGTCTCGCCCCCGACTATACCATCTACAACTGCACCCCCATTCCCACTCCCACCAATCACTAATTAGATATCCACTTACTCATCTATTGGGTTAGTTATCTATTGGGTTGGTATATCTACTCACTTATCTATCTACTCACTTACTATCACTTGCTTGGCTAAATAAACCACCATCCTATTGGGTTAGTATTGGGTTGGTATATCTACTTAGTATTTGGTTAGTATTTGGTTAGTATTGGGTTGGTATATCTACTTAGTATATCACAATCTAAATAAACTAATCTTAACCAATCACAAACCTTATCTACTTAGTATATCTACATAGTATATCACAAAACCAACACAATCTAATCTAAACCAATCAAAACACAACCCCAATCTAATCTAAATCACAACTCAATCTAATCTAAACCAAAACCAATCTAATCTAAACCAAAACCAATCTAATCTAAACCAAAACCAATCTAATCAAAACCAAAACCCAACTCAATCAAATCAAAACCAACTCAATTTATTACTTGTCGAGGGCAGTCAGAGCCGCTAAAGGATCTCCTTCATTCTCCTGTAAAGCCTTAATAGCTTCTTCTCGAGTAACTCCACCTTGATCCATTATGATCTGTACGTCCTGCTCAGTAAATTCAACTTCTGTCTCCTTTAAGTCTTCATTGGTCTCTAGCAATTCTTCAGTCTCTTCTTTAGTATTAGCTATCTCTTGGTTGTTTTGTTGATTTAACTGATAAGAATAAGATTCATGAGCTGTTTTAGCTGCTAAATCTAACTCTCCTAAGACTAATACTGCATCTGTACCTAAGATATGATAAGCTTGTACTTTTCTAATAGCCATTTGAGTATCTCTTCTTCTTAAATAGAAGTCTTTCATCTCTTCTAGTTTTACTAAATCAACTTTGCCTTTAAGACTTTCAACTAACTTAGTTCCTCTTTTAAGTGCTTTACTCATATAGGCTAAAAAAAAGAAAGGTCTTATTGGACACTTAGGCTAGAAATAGGCGTAATTGGGGGGTGCATGCAGCAGGGAGATGTAAAGAGGAAGGAAGAGACTACATTACTTATTAAAAGCTTGTGTAAAAGACATCGGAGTCTAAAAGATAGACAAGCAAGTATTAGAGCCCAAACACAATTTGAAGATATTTCTGAAACGGTAAGTGTAAATGCCTGGGGAGGTCAGAAGAAGGAAGGAGTTGTGCAAAGAGTTTGGCGGTCGATGGTTGGGTTGTGGGCTAGGAAATAAAAGTTTAGATAATTTGGATTAAGTTGGGTTTAGATTGTGGTGGTATTTAGATTGTGGTGGTATTTAGATTGAGTTGAGTTTAGATTGAGTTGAGTTGAGTAAAGATTGGTTGCTTTTTAGATAAGTATTTAGATAAGTATTTAGATTTATTGGGTTGAGTTAAGTTAAGTATTTAGATAAGATTGAGTTGAGTTGAGTTGTGGTGGTATTTAGATAAGTACTAGGGTGGTATTTAGATTGGTTACTTTTTAGATAAGATAAGTATTCAGATACTAATTTGCCTTTACTCTGCTAATACTCTGCTAATACTATGCGAATCCTAATTTGGTGCTTGTTAGGGGGTGTTTTAATGGGGTGGGGAAGAGTTAATTTGGTGGGTGTTTGTAATGATGGAATGTATTTTGGTTGGTTCTTTGATTGGTTGGGATGGGGATGGGTTTGAGATGTTGTTATGGTGATGGTGGCTGAAAATAAGACAATGTTTCATGTGGTCTATTTAAGTGGTGGGGGGATGGATGGTATGAAGAAATTCCTGGCTTTGACGTTTACACCGGCAATTATGGCTTTGGCTCTTAAAGGCTTAGATGCGGATGAGGGTAGCTTTGTGAGTATGCTGAAGAAACAGTCGGGATTGTCGTCGCAGCGGCCTAAAACTGGGAAGCCTAAGTCTCATGGTAGGCTGAATGGTAAGATTGCTTCTTCTATGCTGGCTGAGAAGGAGCCTGGAGTGAGTAGTGTGGTTGGTAAGTCGAAAAAGAGTAAGTCTTCGGTGTTGGTTCCGGCTGCTCCTGTGCCGGCTAGTAAGGGCTTGGATGATGGGTTTGATGATCAGGGGTTAATTGCTAGCTTATTGAATGGTAGTATGGCTCAGGGTTCGTCTCTGAAACGGCCCACTACCTTCCAGGACTTATTAGATTATGCGGCGGAAGAGAATAATGCTGTGCCTTCACCGGCTAAGAAACCAGCTATGAATAATAGCGCCTTTATGCCAATGTCTGCTTATGAATCTTTGCTTGAGAAGCCAAGTTCATCGGCCAATACCAAGGAAGCCTCTAAGCCTAGTAAGCGCACCCCGCCTAAGAAAACAGTTCCTCGTCCGAATAAGAAGCCAAGCGTTCGGGCTGAGCCAAATCTAAATGCTAAGTCTGAGCTAACCGGAATTGACAGTCAGCACCAGAAGTTATACACTAAGATTACTGCTGTAGCCAATGGTGTAGCTAGCTTATCCAAACAACTTGATGTCATTACTGCTGAACTGCAAAAGGACAGTGAGACTGAACACAGCGAAAAAGGGCGGGGTTTCGGCTCCAAGAAAGCCTTCAGGAACTTAGAGGCCTCTTCTCTTCTATAAGTCCAAAACCTTACCCGATTGCTCAATAAACGTTGAACAGTTATTACAAATTATTACCATCTACCATCAATTATTTCAATAGTATCAGTGCCAACCCCAGTTTATCTACTCAACTATGCTTGCCTTAATCCAATCCTAACTTGTATCTTGGCCCTTAGTATATTCTGGTATCTCATGTGATATTGGTATTGGCACCGATCCCAATCCTAGCCTAATACTAACCCAATACCACCTCAACACTAAGTCCTATCTGATATCGATGCTGCATATATGTGTATGTGCCTATCTGCTTACTTATTTGTGGTTAGATAGTTGGTCTTATTTACTTGTTTCTTTGTAGAGTTACTTGTATTGGTCATTTTATTAAACAGATCTGAATGGCTACAGAATTAGATTTTGGCTGGGTTTAGAATAGATTTGTATTAAGTATGAGATGGTCAATTTGAAACTCACCGAAAGTAAAACAACCTCTAATTGGATCTTTGAAATTATCACAACGTGACCAAGAGTCTAAGTGAATTAGATCGGGATTTTATAGCATCTGTTTTAATTCCTATACTAGTTATCGTACGCCATCATGAACTAGATCTTAAATTCAGATTATGTATGGGCTAAGACGGACTTGCCTATTGGGCATTGCACCAACTCATTTTAAAGGGGAGACTGACTGGGACACCACAATTAACAGGCACAAACTAGGACGCACTACTGATAGCCATAGACCAGAACGAACAAAGACGTACTATCCTATGGTTAAGGCAGTTAAGATTCTAATAACTAGATTAGGACAAAAACAAGATATTAATAGATAGAGAGTTTATTTAAGACCATTGGCATAACGGGTACGGATTACCCGCAGAGCTTTTAGAACGAGGATTAGCGACTTTAACAGCAACTCCAGCTGCTTGTAAATACTCGGCTGCTGCTAATGGTATAGTAGTTCGGTGAAACTCAACTTCTTGAAGACTGTCCTTACAGGCATAATACAAATCATAAATCTTAAGTGGTGAAATAGAACAGTCATAAAACTTGATAATCCGGACAAAGTGCTTTTGCAAGCTGTTAATAATTCGATGGGTAATTTCCATTCCGCGAAAGTAGACCTCATGTACCAAGGGAAAGTGTCTTAAAAGAACTTGTGCAGCAGGATAATGTCTAAGTGCACAAACACAGCCCTTGTACTCATCCCAGAAGATCAACACATCATTATTATCAACCCGAATTCGTCTCCGCCTTGTTTTCACTAGTTCTTCAAAGCGACCGGCCAAATGACCAACTGAACTCCCTAAAATGTCCAAAGAAACTGCCCGGGATAAGTAAGCCACTGGGACAAGTCGAATATTCGAATCTTCTAAGACCACAATACTCGCCATCTTAATTATGTCCCAAATCTCTTCTACTACATCACAATCTTTAACTTTGATACTATCTAGTGTAAATTTACGGAAGTATCCTTGAATTTCTGTAATCGCATGTAGTTCTAGCACGCCAATATGACCTACTAATTTGCAGAGATTAAGAACTCCGTGCATCTTGAATTTACGTTTCTTTACTTTCGGCATAGTTATGGGGTATTGGGGGAGTGGAATATAACGAGATAGCTTGTAGATCAACCAGCCACCCATTCCTGGAACCCAATGCCAAGGTACTTCTTGATTTGGTTTGGGCGGTTGAATAACAAGAGGAGTTTCTTGCTTAGATCCTAATCGCTTCATAAAAAAAGGATGCTAGCCAAAGCCATACGCAGTTTAACCTATGGAACTGTAGAGACTAAAAGTGGTCTAATACTGACGGGACCCCTTTCATTGGACAGATACTTAAATGTCACGATTGCTGGCCAGACAATTAGTGGAACTGAGATAAGATATTTGCGAATGGGGGATGAAGAGCTTGCTAAAATAGTCGAACTAGATCAAGCCCAGCAAAGTCTTCGACCCAGCACTAAGAATGCTAATGATCACACCACCACAAAGACCAAAGACTAGGTAGGGAGTAGTATAGTCCGGAACAATTGGTCGGTCATAAATACGAGTGATCTTAATAGTAGAGTCAGTAATAGTCCCAGCAGTGCAGACTAGAAGTCCGGATTCACTATCTAGATGTTCAGCTCGGGTAATGCGTTTGCGGTACTGAAGTGATTCACCAGGATGGAGTAGGACTAATTGCGAAGTCTGTGAAGCTGGCAGGATAGGGAAAACGCTAGAAGAGAATTTCAGAACGAGAGGGGCTGAGTGGTGGTTGTTTATGGCATGCGGTTGGGTCGAAGTAAGACTTAAGTGGCGAATGATTCCGGAACCAAAGCAATGAAGAATCAAGTGACCAATTTTCATAATAAAGGGATTAATGGAGTATTTATTGAAAATTAGGTTAGTATTGGGTTAAGTTAAGTTGAGTTGAGTTGGGGTGGGGTGAGTTAGATTGAGTTGGATTAAGTTGAGTTAGATTGAATTGTGTTGAGTTGAGTTAGGATCAAATTGATAATGAGTTGGAATTGGGTTGGAATTGATTTTAGATGGGATAAACCTGATGTTAGAAACGGGTTGATTTAGTATTGGATTAGATTGAGATAATGAAGCTATTAACCGATATTTACAATCAAATCAAATTAAGATCATACTAAACCATAACTATCAAGTCATTAGTGAATGAACATTAAATCCTAACTAAATCATATCTTATAAGATCAAAAAGAACATCTATCAAAATATCAATAAAAAAGACAGTTAATTGGTGGTATGTAGCTGCAAATGGCTACGTTACTATTTATATAAACTTCTTGTTGATGTAATCAAAACTGAAATCATCAATTTCCTCTTTGGGCTTATCTGGCCAGGACTGTTTAGGAGGATCAAATTGAGGTTTGGCCGGCTCAAAAGAGGATTCTTTAGGCTCAGGAGGTCTTTGGAATCGCATCCGGTCTAGATGGAGAGCCTGAGTAGGTGATGGAGTAATGGGCGGAATCATAGTAGGAGCGGGTGGAGTTACTCGGCGGGGTATGTCCTCAGGAATAGGCCGCGGCGGTGGAGGAGAAGTATAAAGTGGCTTAGGCTTACGAGGACTAGCCGACATATCACAAATACACTTCAAATCAGTATGGTAGATCTCTAAGAGTTTACGAATACTCTCTAAATAGATATCAATTTGGGCCATAGAAGTAAACTTACGCTTTTGAATAAAACCTCCCAAAGCAGTATTGATCGTATCTCCTTGACGAAAAACAACTTCAATATAATCAGCACTAGCAATAGCATTGATAGAGTAGTGATAAGCACCCCCAACAAATTTAACCGTCCGATAAATCTGAGTAGCCCCATGTCGCTCCAAACCTTGGAAGGCTTCTTTTTTCTGGAGTTCTTTGATACGCCGATACTCTTTGATAATCCCGCCAATCTGAACTTTCCTTTTTTGAGGCGGCTCAATCTGGATCTGATCTAACTTCTTCTCATTGTAGTCCTGGAGTTTCAAGACCTCAAAAACCTCAGGAGAAGGATCAAGACATATTTTAGCAGTTTTAGCGATAGTCCGGGCCTCTTCTAGTTCATCAGTTTTAGTAGAGAGAATCAGTGCGGGCGTATAGGGTAGTTCTGAGAAGGCACCTTTAAGAAGCACGCGATGTGTGCTAGATTCTGAACATCGATGATCAACTACCTCAACTACAATATGGTTGTCATAAAAAGGATACTCACCTCGATCTAGTAGATCAAGAAGATAAGGATGCATAAGGTTGCGATTAATATAGGAAAGAATAGCATTGATAATATCGGTGTATGGGTGCCGGGTACCTTCTTTTTCGGCCGGTCCAACTACTACATAGTCAGGATAGAGTGTGATAGTAAAGATAGCCGTTATATCTTTGAACTTCTCGATAGGGTTATGGCCAAAAGTAAACTGAGTAAAGTTACCCCACTTTCTCTTCTGAGAAGCATAATATTCTGAGAAGCGCCGCTTAAGATGGTGTGTGTTGGCATCTTTAAATTCGCCTACTGCCGTCTCTTTATCCATCGCTTCTTCAAATGACTTGAAGAGTGTTGTGGTCTCCATTTTTAACAAAAGAAAAGGAATTATTAGTATTGGGTTGAGATAGAGGGCATTAAAGTGAGTTTATAGCAGTGTTTAGGCTAGTGCATAGTCTTATAAGATGATTGTGATAAGATTTTGATATCATCTTATCTGAACAGTAGAAAGTTATGAATATCACCAAAGAATTTTAAGGTAAGTTAAGATCGGGTTAGGTTTAATCTACTTTGAAACTCAGTTCAAGTCAAAATAAGATATTTTCAAGTGAACTACTTGGCAAATGAACTAGTTTTCAAGTAAGCCAGTTTTAAAACCAGTTCGTATTCAGTGCCAAAGACCCAACAGTGTCCCTTTACCATAAACAGTCCAGTACAAATCCAACTTAATACCAACTTAGTACTAACTCAATACCAACTCAATACCAACCTAATACCAACTCAATAAAACCAAAGAAAGCACTAGACAACTTTATTATAATCAACTAAGTCATAACTAACTCAACTAAGTCAATTAACATAACCCAATACATAACTCAACTAACACAATTTAATCAACTAAAACCCGCCTTTTTATCTAAGCTTTTAAAACTAAGTTGATATAAACTTACTAACCCATTCTAATGCACAACACCACCAAATACTAACTCACCTCTAAAGTAATACTAAATTGTACAATCTACTTGTTTATTGCATGGTTGGTCTAAGACACACATTTACGATGGCAGATTTGGCGAGTAGGCTGAGAACTAACTAGAATGGCATCTTTAAAGGCCCAACACTCGTCATTATCACTCCAAATAACCTCAAGTGGATCCTTGCAAATAGTACAGATTTGGTCACGATCACCTTTAACGGGAACATTATCAACTTGGTCCTGATGTGACTCTTTCAAAGAAACCTTAGGGAAATGTTGTGGCTTCTCACCTGCCCACTGATTAATCTCTAATAACCAAGGCCGCCAAATAGCACCGCCTGAAAGACTCTTATCTATTTGTGACTTTCTTTGATGGGCATCAGCATGGGCCGTATATGGCTCTAATGAATCAAAGCGCATCCCACAGACTTTACACTGGGCAATAGTTGAATACAAGAACTTTTGAGCTAAAGCTAATCTAGGCACGTTTAAATAACTTCTTTCTAAGGTAGGTAGTTGATCATGATGAGAATCTTCTTCTTTAGAAGCTGTATAGTATTGATAAGATTCTAAGTAGGTTTTCTTATCAACTAGCTTAAATAAGAAGAATTCAGGTGGATAAGGTAGTAATAAAGATCCAAAAGAAGGAAGATTAGATGAAACAGGTTTAGCCGCTGGAGGACTTAAAGGAGTCACTAAAGAAGGACTAGGAGGACTAGGAGACTTACTAATAACTGGATCTATCTTGGCTTGCTTAATAGGTTCTGGTTCTGGAGCTGATCGTTTGCGAGACTTCTTGGCAAGGAAGGAATACGCATGGTGTTGTGATAGAGCTTTAAGGAGGGCTTCTAAAGACTCTTTTCGTGGTGATTCGGCTGTTTTGGCCTCTTGTTGGATGGAATCAGCAATTTCAATGGCATGATGATCATTTGTTTCGGCTGTGATCTGTAGTGCTTGTAAGACGTGTTTATTCTCTAAAGAAGATTCTTTGAGAAGTGCAGTGTAGGCCTGGGCAATAGTTCGCATAAAAAAAGTCACTATCGAGTTGGTATTAAGATTGGATTGGTATGGGTTTAGATTGAGTTGGGTTGAGTTTAGATTGAGTTGGTATGAGTTTAAATTGTGTTGGTATGAGTTTAGATTGAGTTAGTTGATATTTTGTGGTTTTGGATTTATTGATTAGATTGGGTTGAGTTGAGTTAGTATTGGGTTGAATTGAGTAAAGTAGAGGCATTGATAGGGATTGAATTGGCAGTTGGCAGTTAGTGGTTGTGTGGGGGTGTGGGGGTGGTAAAGTTACATACGGAATGGGGTGGGAGAGAAGTTAGTTGGGTTTTGGGGGAGAAGGTGTCTTGGAGTTGAGACTGCGGTGCTCGCCGGGGGGTTGGATGTTGTACTTTTTGGCAAGTTCAATGGCAGAAGATGGGCTGGTAGACATGATAGGACTAGATTGGGGTGTAATATTTGGTGTGGTATTAGGAGTGTTAGTGGGAGTGTTATTAGGAGTATTAGTGGGGGTGTTAGTGGGAGTGCTTGGTTGTGATGTGGTAGAGGGAGTGTTAAGTGGATTGCCAAGTGTATTGGCGGGGTTGTTGCCGATTTTATTGCCGAAACTACTGGCGGGCCAGATCTGGGCTAGGTACCTGGGGATGGTGGTGTTGAGAGGTGGTTTGGGTTTTAGGGGGTCTCCATGACCACCTAGTAGGGAACGCTCTAAGTAGGTATAGGAATCGGGTTTGTTGGTGGTGGTGGTGGTGGCAAAGAGGCTTTTTGTGCGGCCTAAGAAGGTATTTAGGGCTGAACTGCGCTTACGAATGCGTCTATTCTGCTGGACTATATCTTTGGCACCGGCTAGTCCGAAAACAATATCGGCTGGTTTAGCACTGGGAATTTGGTGCAAGTTAGTCTGGCCATCATGATGATGAATAATGATATGTGTATCAAAGAGGAAGGCGGCAAAAGAATAGGGTTTAGTGAAGGAACGGCTATGCCAGTCAAAGGCTAAGAATTGGGTCGTGGTTGGAAGTTTAAAGTGCCGGTAAGCATAGGGTTCACTAGCACTTAGACTTTCGAAGAAGAACTGGCCTAAAGCATTGTAAGCTACTACATTATGACCGGCTGCTAAACCTTCGGCTCGGAAGGGCACATACCGGGAACTAAACATATCATTAAGCCAGCGCATATCAAGAGTACCTAAGTGCGATCCAGTCGAAACTACGATTTTGTTAGAAGTTGCTTGTTCCAAACTATTGATGGTTCCGCTTTTAACAACTCTATCTGGATGAAGGGATTCCAGTTTTGGAGCAATAGTCCAAATAGATCGTGATGTCTTTTCGCGCAAGTCAAGCAAGGAGATGTACATGGATCGACCGCAAATGTATTGCTGGGGATGCCAAGTACTAGATATTTTAGCGGCAGTAGAGAAGGCCGAGTGGCCCTTGATCGTGTATGAGATTGCCTTGCCACTTTCTAGATCTAGCTGGTCTAAGATAGCGTTATAATAGTTAGGATCAGTGTTAGAGGAACAAGCAGGCTCTTTAAGCACACAAAGAAAACTAGTATTGCCAAATGGAGTGGCCATATCGAAAGGCTGATCAATAGGAATAGTATATGTCTTTAAGGTATTACAATCAATGATATCAACACCAGTCCGGGTCAGAACAAGACTATTGTTCTTATACAGAGATACTTTGGTTGGAATTTCGTTGAGAAAGATAGAGGCGCAAACATCTATACCATCGGTATGTCTTTCTTTGCGAATGAAGTACTTGTAGCCATCGTTGCTATACATGAGGTAGGGCGAACCTTTTTCTGGAGTGCGATTAACTGCCATTAGATTTTGGCAGATTGGGGGGCGTTGAAGTCTGGTATAATCGACATGTTTGATCTGGGGAAAGAAGTCGATGCCTTTCCAATAGTCTTTGTAAAGTTGGTGTGAACCGAATGTTGCTAGTCGATAGCTAGAACTGTACTCATGGGGTTGTGAGAGTTCGTAGAAATTGGGTTTCTTATTAAAGGCTTCGGATTTGGCTATTTTAATAAGTGGCTCGACTGGTGGTAGTTCGTTGATCTCGCTAGTTTGGATTATTTGAAACGGAAGAAGTGTAGGACCAGTATCCATGGAAAAGTTTTTCGATTGGGCGGGGTTATTGGTTGCTGATTGTGCGGTTTAAGTGTACTTTGATTGGAATAAACGGATTATGGCTGTTAGTATTGGGTTATTTGATATTAGGATAGTTGTTGATTTATTTTGTAGTTATTATTTTATCGATATGTGCCTGTATAGCTGATAGATTTTGAATATTTTCCTGGGTGATTGTGATTGAATCGGACAGTCCAACAATGCACTGCTGTTTTTGGTCAATCAGTCGTCTGATTCGGATTTGCTTTGAAGCCTCATCAGCAGTAGAGATAGGTGGTTTTGGGATGGATTTAGAGATGGGTTTGGCTTTGGCTTTAGTCTTTTTGGTTTGAAGATTGGACGGTTCTTGCTTTCTTTGGAGAAGATTAATCTGTTCTTGTTGGGTTTTGATATAAGTTTGGGTATTGGCTACTGTTTGTTTATAGTTTTTGATTCTGTTCTGGATGGCAGCGCGTACGGTCGAGTAGGTGATAAAAGGAAGGTCTTGGGCCTCAAGATGAATAAGATTGGCGTTAAATGGTGATTCAATTGAAAACCGCGTGTTTTGGCCTTTCTTCTTGAGAGTGTATTTGGCGCGCATTGGGAAACTGGTAATCTCGGCCTGGGTATCATTGTTTTTGAGAATGAACTTTCCTTGCTTATCAATCAGAATAACGTAGTGCGGCTCAATACCAAGTCCGTTCTGCTTCTTTTTATGCTTTGACTTGTCGCTGCTGCGCTTGGACTGCCGGTCATACTTCTTAAGGAATATAAGTGCTTTGGCCACAATTATATACAGAGTAGTGATAAGCAAAACAAAAACAACCGTATGCGTGGTTTGAAAAAGATAGTCCTTGTCCAAATCATGGTATCCTAGCTGGTCGCCCACCTTTACAAGCAGCCCACAAATCCACTGGGAAAGGCACTCAATAGGACTGACATTGCAATGGACTGAATTGATCTCTAAATTACTTGCTTGCATTTTCACCCCCTTGGTGCCCGCCCATTAATAGGGGCTGTCAACCTCCACCCCTTGTTCCTCTAAGTGCAGCTGATTGGCCAATCTAATTACTCTAGTTCTTTTGTAGATCTAATTTTCCTGAATAAACTAATCCAGACTTTAAATCTAATATCATGATAAATACTAATTTTATAGAAATTATTCGAAGTTTGCAATAAATAAACCGAAATTACCTTATTAGGAAATATCGTCACATCTTTGTTTTTCTGCTTCTAAAAGAAGAAATTTGTATTTAAACCTTGATAATGGCATCTGCACCTGCCGCTCCTACGGCGCCTTTTGTTGCAGTCGTACTGAATAGTACAGAAAATGTTTCTGAGTTGGAAATCATAGAAGCGATCAATCATGCCAAAAGTGACGTAAAGCACTTTTTTAATCTTATTACATCGCGCGATCTCATTATCTGCCTGGCCCTAATATGCGGCTTCTTATTAGCACTATCTCTAGGGCTGTTTTTCCGATTGAGGTACAAGAAGCAGATCATTGTAAAGCTGCAAGAAGAACTTACTGAAGCCAAGAAAGCCGAGACTAACGCAGCCGAGGCAAACTCTTCACCTCACACTATTATTGATTCGATGCCCGCAATTACATCGGATCAGAAAAGTCGCAAGTCAGAAACGCATTTGAGTCCATCGGTTATCAACGGCCAGTTGTATAGTATAGATTCAGAGAATGCTTCTAATACAATCAGTCGAGTACCATCTAATAACTCTCAGGATAGTGGATTTGGTAGTGCACTATCCCGCCGGACACACCCGGTAGGAGATCTCCGGTCAGTTGGTACTCGCCTAACCACCCGCTCAGACACAGACAAGGGCAAGCAACAGAGCCACCAAAAAACAAGGCCCCCGGCCATTCCTCTACCGACCACACCAAATGTCGAGGCAATGCTAATTAGCAAAGTGCAGGCGTATGTTGATCAACATCCAGAAGTATTGTCAGAGGTTGAGCCACAACTTAAATCATTAGAGGAACTTCAGGAGGCTATTTTCCAGATAGAAGATGGGAGAAAGGTAGTGTTAGAGCAGGTAACAGATGGGGTTGAAAATCTTACCAACAAACTCATGAGTTCATTGGCCAGTTTCAAATCGAATGCAATAGCCAACAAAGAAAAGTATCAGATACAAGCTGAACAGGTAACTGCTGCTTATCAGCAAAGCCTTGCCGAGACCATATCAATCCTTTCTCCTGCTACATCCAAGCAGGTATCTTCAGCCTCACCAGAAGTTAACAATTCAGCCGGTCAGCCGAATAAAGATAAACCCGATTCCCCCGCCCCTACTGCCTTGAACACGGCGGCTGAGACTACAGTGGCTGAAACCACAGCGACATCGTCTGCGTTATCCAATTAGATTAACTGAACTCGGCACTATTTCTCTGCCACTTCAAATCCAGCCATAATTCATTTGAACACTAACCTAACACCATCTAAGCAACTTGGTTTTGCAGCTAGACAAAGATGAACTTGCCACCAGAAAGTCAAATCAATAGCCACTAGTGATTTTCAGATATTTAGCTCGGATTTAGTAGTTGAGTCCAAGTGGCTCGGAATAAAGACATTTTAGTATAAGTTGCTGTCGTGCCCCGGGAAAGGGATAGTACCTTTCAACCAAACATATTCAACTAAAGACCGATTTTGAAGAGGACGAATTGGTATTGGGTTGGTGTGGGTTAGGTTCTCTTTATCGTACGTCATCTTGAGCTAGTCTGTAAACTCGGAACATAAATGCTAATCCGAGCTTGTGATTTCTACTTCGAGATTTAATCGCGTTCGCTGCGATCAGTGCCAAGCCGATAAGTATTCCAGAACTTTGCCCCTGTAGATAACTCACTTTGAAGTGGAGGTCGGCGAGGACACCATACTTATATTAAGATACATGTTATTGATACGTGTAGTTGTGCTTAATCTTAATAACCACAGCTATTACAAATGCTATTGTTAATTTAACAACTTTATTTTCTTATCGATAAATGCTGAACTCAGGCAATGACTCAAGAGCTACTAACGAACAGACCAATGCTACTACCTCGCCCCTATTATCCCAATCGGACCATAGCGGCCAAGGCCCCTCTGTTTCCCATGATGCCACCACTTCTGTGAATGCTTCGTCAACGACAAATCTATCTATGAATATGCCAACGCCATCTTTACCACAAGCCAATATTCAGAGGGGGCAAATCGAACTCCCTTTTGATGTCTTTGGTTTGGCACGCGGAGGCATTATCCTATGGGGGATTGTTTTTGGTAATGTTTTATGCCTCTCGATTGCTATTAGTCTTTTGCTTCTAACCACGGCCGAGTACATTGCTATGTCCAGCAGTACATTGAGGCTCCTTCCTTTTGTCTTAATACCACTGGCATGCTGCGAAGTTTACGTGACTTCTACAATCTCGGCCTGCTACATAATTCGCTGCACTAAAGATGAGCCTCGGCGCTTTTTATTACTCGCTGGGCTTGTCGCCTTACTTGTGTCCTGGACTGGGTTCTCGTTACACCAGAGAGTATCCGGCAGAATAATTTCTATTTCTGATCCCTCCGATATGCGATCGCTGCTGGTGCTATGCACGGCGATATGCACAATATGGCAAGTCTGGGGTGCCATATGTCTTTTGCGCCAATCAACTTCGGCCCAGCCGTTCCCATTCTACAATCAATACTTGCAGAGGAAGAGCGCTCGTCTAGCTGTAATAGTCATTGGCGGGCTGTTCAGATGGACCCTCACCTTGGCGCTTTATTTCTTGATTCCTCTCGCCATATCTCAAGTCAACAAAGAACTGCCATGCCAAAATTAAATGATATGCGTTTCCTGTTTTTCTTATCTATGACCATTAGCATGAAATATTCAACCAAAACCAAACGAACTTTACAACGGCAATCTCGTCAAACAACCGGTTTAGCCAGCAGGCATCTGTCGCACAGCAAGAACTCCACCACTATGATAACCCAACCAGCGTTTGCTATTGCTTTTATTATCTCAGAAATTATCTCCCTGTGCTGCACTATATCTATATTAATGTGCAGCAGCCTTGAATACCGGTCCGTTCACACAAACTATACAATACTATGCCACTTTCTCTTAGTTTTATTATATAACGTCAAATCCGCACTATCTATTACTTCCATCCTGCAACGAGCCTATCAAGACGAAAGTCCCGAAAACTTGCACGTCACAATATTAAGTCTTGTACTTGCCAATATAGCTCCGCTGGCCTTATACATTCTTAAAAACGCCCCAACTACACCGGCCAATATAACCTCAATGATTATCCCATGGGAGATAGGTTTATGGATTGTATCCACTGCCTTCGGTTTATTTTGGTGGTGTGTCATTGTCTTCCAGGTGTACACAGCCCCTTCCAAATTCAAGTCCCACAGCAGAAGAATCCTTGCTCTCAACATCCCCGCCAGCCTTATCATTCATTTCTTGTTGTTTATTAAGATTTGCCTCTTCCCCCCCTATTACGAATTAATCAAACCTACATACTATCATACTAGTAATTGACGTAAAATTTTTGTTTTTGACCACAAATTAATTTCCTTTTTAGGAAACTTCTGAAATATAAATCAGACTTTTTTCATTGATTTTATGACTATTAATTCACCAGAATTTAGTGCATTTGTCCAAAAGTATTTCAAATCTAGTGTAGATTCTTTGTCTCTTGAGTTTCGAGAACCCCTGGAGAAGATATATCTCGTTGTAAAAGAACAGACGACGGTTCAAGCCACGTTTTTACCTCTCGGATCAATACTTTGTGTAGTGGGTTGTCTGATGGCAGTAATCTTGATAGCTTTCGTATTAGCCGCTATTTATCAAAGACAATCTAAGAAGCCGTTAGTGGACAGTGCATCCTTGAGTGAGAGTCCTCGTGGTTCTAAACAGGGTAGTGTGAGTGGTTTCGGCAGGAAACAACCTTCTATATCGGAATCAATCCACTCCTATCCCGGCCCAGAACAGCAACTCCCCATTGCTGAGGATCCAACGAGCCGCCATACGCCCATTCCCAAAACTAGCCCAATACTAACCCAGGCAGAACTAGAAAGGGAGCAGCATGGCGCACTAATTGGGTTAAACGAAAAAATCGACGGCCAACTATCCAATTTAAGCCACTGCAAGGACATGGTAGATGAACTACAAAAGCTGCTAAACCCAACGGTGCCCGCAGAAACCATAGCTGAATATAAGCAAATGCTACTCGGTGCGCAAAGTTGGCACCAAGGACACTATAACTGCTTGGCAAAGGAGGAACCCATCTTACAAGACCGCATAGACCTACTAACCAACGCGGAAACTATAGATGATAAACCAATATTAGCTCAGGCCCAGCATCAAATAAATCAGATGCTAGCCCAACTAAACCAACGACAAGCCGCACGTGATCAATGCATCGCTAAATTAACGGCTTTAATGAAACTAATTACTGATATAACGGAAACTGCCCAACCGACCCAAGAGCAAATCACCGAGTTAGCGAAGCTAGAGGATGAGTACCTAAAATTGCTACCAGAGCTATAATGATGCCTATAAGAGCTAGGCTATCTAAAAGCGAAATCTACAACAATCACCACCAAAGCAAATGCTCGAGCTTTAATTTTCTGATCCGAAAGATCTTGTATGCCTATTACAGCAATCCGAAAACACTAATCTAAGCAAGTTTTCTCAATCTAGCCCAACACGAATGCACTACTGTAAGCATCTGTCTGTCTTGACTTCATTACAAAATAAATAGCCAGTTTGGAAAGAGATTAGCCGTTATTATACTTATAATTCAATTTGGGCTTAATTCAAGTTTAATCTACTTTTGTCTTTGGTAACCAACTAATTTCCTTTTTAGGAAATTTTCAAAGTTGAAATCGTACCCCATATTATCAAATTTTATGGCCATCAATCATCAAGAATTTAATGCATTTGCTCAAAGGTATTTCAAGACTAATGTAGACTTTCTACCTGATGAAATTCGAGGGTCGGTGGAGAAGATGTATCTCCTTGTAAAAGAAGAACAGGCCCGACAAGTTAGTCTCACGTCTTTCGATATCAGTAAATTTCTCCTACTTATACTTGGTCTTAGTATTGTGTTAGTATTACTAACATTAGTGGTTGTTGCAATAGTCATTGTCAGCCGAAGACGATCTAGGAATGAGTCATTGCCTGAAGGTTCCTCGGTAAATCAAGTGGCACAGCTTAGTACTATGGTTGAATCTTCTAGAGCTAATGATGTAGGTGTTAAACCTAGCAATTCGTCTGATGAGGATAATATTGGAACGGGCCAATCTAGCCCATACCAACTCTTCTTAAATCGCTATGGGAAGGCCTCGGTTATCCACCCCTCATTATCTTCTCTTCACAGCCGGCAATCATGTCTTGAGTCATTGGACGACACCACTTCCATTGAAGAATCTCCCACCCTACAACAAGCTCAAGTAAACCTATGCCAGCAACAGATACAGCTGCTAGATCAACTAGCCCAATCAATGGAGGAAGATCAACAAAGCCTACAACAGGGCCACCACAGCGACCGGGCAGCCCAACTCACACAACCATCGCCGTCAACACCATCAGATGCACATGAACGATATCAGCAAGCGTTAAAAATAATGCGCCAACGGCACCATCAACACTGTCTGCAATTGTCACAGCAAAAAGAACAACTAAAAGGTCAGATAGATACCCTCGACAAAACAACAATCTTAAGTGGGCACCTACTACAGCCCTCGGCACAGAAATATCGACTGGAAATACGAAGCCAGCTACAACAACGCCAAGAAGTGCGAGAACAATGCATCGCCAAATTAGACGCACTAGACAAACTAATTCATGAGCTAGCCCAAACAACCGAACCGACCCGAGAGCAAACCGCCACTTTAACGAAACTAGAGGAGGAATATCAAAAGCTGCTACCAAAACTATAATGATGCATACTGCCATGTTCTAAGGAATAACGGCTACCTTAAACCATACTAGTTCGACCAAGACATAAGCAGGTCGGTTATTGTTGGGAATTCTTATGCACAACAGTTAGTATTGGGTTAGTCTTAACTTGTTGTATCTCAATTCCACTCTGTAATTATGATTTAGAATGTGCTGCCAATCTAACCCAATTTGATGGTTGTCTTCACTCTTGGAGCTACAGATGAGGATTAAAAAGATCTGTTGGTATGTGCGTATCTCCTTGAAACAGCTTCTGAAGACTAGCGTAATATCAAGACCCGTGTTCACTGGCAAAGAGTAGTAATGGTGAATGTTTTGGGCGCCGCCATAATAATAGTATGGATTTATTAGAGGGTTGTTACCCTAATATCCGTTAATGTGTTTGTTTTATAAATTTAATCAGTTAGATCTTTCGGTTTCCACAAAATTTTGATTCTCCTTTTTAGGAAATACCAACACCTATGTACATTCATCTATGTATAAAACCTAATCGATTTTTTAGATAAGCAACAAGACATGCCACCGCACAATCCAAATGAAGTTCTTCTAAATAACGAGCAATGCTTTCTAAAGGCAGCTTCTGGCATTAAAAATTGGGTCTCCAAGTCTTGGACAATCATATCTACTTCATTATACTTACAAACAATTATGTGGACTGTTATTGGATTAGTTGTACTAGCAATTATTATTAGTCTTATCATGTGGCATAAAAAACAAAAGCCCGTAGTAGATATGGTTGAGAAAGGGACTTATTTCCGCTATGACTATGCCTTCCCAGAACCAATGGATGAACAGATGATGGACTCGCTTAACAACTATATCCCCGCTAAGACTCCAACCTCCCGCGCCTAACTTAATCAACCATCTCAAAAAGGCCAACAGTCTACCAGTACTTATTTGATCAAATCAATACAATCTATTCTCTAATAAAGTTGTATGTTCCCAAAACAAAACTTTCTACTACGACTATCTTTATCCGCCCAAGCCCGAAATTAGCCACCCCGGCCTACATTGTCTTTTTACGACTGTGTTTCTCTATCTAGAAGTTACAAATATCTTACTCTATCTCAACATAATTTGGTTTTTATTTCGCCTTATCACTATCCAACACAATCCAATCCCAATCCAACCCAATCCACTACTAACTCAACCTAAACTAACTCAACCCATTAGTCACCTATCTGCACAATAAACCTTTATTAAATACAAAATCTATCCTTATCTAAAAAGATGGCTTCGGTCTTAACAGCTGCGCTTCTTACAACATGGGCCCAATGCTTTTTCAGCGGCAGAATACCTAAAACCACCTCATCCCGGGCTTGCCCGCTCATTGTTTTCCTTAAGCGCTCAACACATTCCAAAAGTTCGGTCCAGTATCGCCACTCCATACCAGGATTGATAAGGAATAAGTGCTTCACCACTCTTTCTAGACAAGCAGCCCGAACAAGTTGCCCGGCTTGTGGCAGAATCTTCAAAAACTCCCGCCGAATATCAGCCTTACCCATTAGCAACTCCAAAATCTCCTCTAAGTCCGTACAGGCATTCCCAGACGACCAGCGCGTCCCTGCCGCCTCAGTGGACAGCACAGGCGAAGGAAAAACAAGCGCACTCTTCGGCGGAGTAGGAGAACTGTCTCCAGAGCCCAACCCGGCTGATTTGGACTGAAAATCAAAATCTTGATTAGATAGATTCGTAGTATTAGATGAACTAGCAGTAGTAGAAGTACTGGTGGCCATAGTAGGACTAGGTGCTTTATCTGTAACTTCTATATCTTCAATGAGAAGAGAGGAATTGCTTTTCAATGATTGACTATCTATTCCACTAATATCCGCCATACTAGCACTCATTGGCGTACTTGACAACTGACTAGCTGGATTGCGCTGAATGTGCAAGCGCTTGAGATTTTGCTCAATGATACTCGCTTCCGTAATGAACTCTTTAAATACACGCGGCAGACTGCGTACCAGCACCCGGCGTACTTCTCGAGGTCCTTCCGTAATCTCGCGGCAATAAACACTATATATCTCTTCCGTTCTTTTATGGTCACTGCGTACGGCGGCAACTAGAACATTAGCTAGCCACTCTACAGTTCCTCTTTTGATCCCAGGCTTGATCTCCACCGAAACTCTATCTATAGCCTCACCTGTTTCTACCCCGCCCTCTCCAATTGATCCGGCAATTGAAGCAATCGCCTGGGCTTTCACTTCGTCATCGGGATCTTCAACCAAACGCAGTAGGGCCTGTCCAGCCCCGGAAGAATGTACGTCCTGAAGAATTACAGCAGCTTGCATTCGCACGGCTTTATTCTCATTCGCCGCTGCCGTAATAATAAGTTGTTCAATCGCCGCGTCCCATTTACATTCTAAGTAAGCTAAACACCTAGTTAGACAGAAGTTTAAAAAGGATACTTCCGGCTCACTAGATAGTTCCAGCAGTAAATCTCGCGCTTGTTTTTCTATATCAGTACTGGAGTAGGTCTTTTGGTCCATTTCTCCAAATAAAGTATCTATCTCTTTATCAGTCATATGCTTTTGGGGTGGCAGACCGGATTTAGCGTACTTCATGCGCACCAGTAAGAGTTCAACTAAGAAGTCCTTTTCCTTATAGAAATGAGTGACTAGATAGTCAAAAATCCGACTATCTAACACATGGGCTAGGAACAAGGCAATTTCAACAATTTTGGTATCGGCCTCATCAATATCAGCTAAAACCAGTTGCAAAAGAACGATCAAAGTCCGTCTGTGTTTATAACTCATATTTACTGGCGTACTAACTAGTTGACTAATTGCCGCTGCTGTAGTTGGTCCTAAAAAGACGGAAATGCTATCTTGATAAACCGCTGTGGCCGTACTGATAACAGCCTGCTCAATCTCTTGTCGGACGTCTTGGAGATTGTGACGTGTTTCTGCCCTGTTCTTAAGCAGTCTTGGTAAGATAGATGTTTCAAACTCATCAATGCCATAGAGAGTAATGAAAGGAACTATCTGTTTGTAAACCCAGATGCCAAGACAGTCAAATCCGACTGTCAGTGCATAAATCACTTGTTTGCGCAACTCTAAATCTTCAGGAACAAATCTCCAGCCATTTACAACACTGAATATCTCGGCGGCGGCTATCTTGCCCGAATTGACCTCTCTAGTCAACATCAGAGGTTGTTTATCTTTCTCTGGGCTCTTCTCTCCTGTTTCCATAAATAAAAGGAAAAACACGCTAATAACTAGACTTACGGGGTCTGCCGGGGGTCTTTATCAGCTTAAATATACTTAGAATGAAGTGTTTACTCATTCCCTTGAGTTCTGGCTTCTGGCATCTTATCACGAGTCTAGTTCAATTCATACTATTCGAAATCTATTTATTACTATGGCTACTTTTGGCGCCGAGTCTCTAAAGCCCGCCAGAGAGGGCGGTAAAAGTAGACCAGAATGGGCAGCATGGAAAGAATAATAATGACTACAAACGGGTAGTAGTCGTCCGTGTCACCCCATGGGACTTTTACGTTCATGCCCCAAAGTCCGGATAAGAGTTGGCAGGGCGAGATAATGAGGGCGACCAGACTCATGCGGCTCATTGATTTGTTCATTTCGTTGCCCTCCTGGGTTTGTGCTACATTAAGGAGGGCAAGGTACGTGTCCTGTGAGCGTTCAAGTACACGGTGGTGCTCGGACAGTCGTTTGTACTGCTCTTTCAGATCATCGATTGATTCAGTGAGGTACTTCTGGACTAGTGGGACAATGCGTTTGCGGCACCGGCTTTTCAGAGTGCCCAAAATATCTAGTTTGTTACGGGCTGAAGCCTGTAAGTTATTGACTTGACAGGTAACGGCAAAGTTACTTTTCAAAACATCGGCCATTTGTGGGCCTTCCAGGCTTTTGGACTGTTCCTGGATGTGATTTATTTGGGTGCGGCAGTTATCAGTTAGGTACTTAATATCCTGAAGGAACTCGACCACAATAGAGTACAACACCCAGGAAGGAGTTAAGGGCGTATACTTAGCTAGTAAATCAATAAAGTTGAAAGTATCATGTACACTTATCCAGGGCTTATCATGGAAAGTCAGTACAAAGTCTTTAAAGACAAGAATGTTAAAATCAATATCTTCGGTGTTGGACTGAGTTTCCACAAAGAGTTTCATGGAAATAAAGGTGTAGTGTTTGAAGACTTCTATCTTTTCATCGGTATTGCGCTCTTTAATATCAAGAACGGACAAACTATGAATGTTAAACATCTCGCCTAGGGAGTAAAGCTCACTATCAGTGGGGTTGAACGTATTGAGCCAGAAGAAGCCTGATTTGGAGAAATCGGCGGTGGCAGTGAGTTCATCTAGAGTTTGGGCCTGGAGTAGAGCGGCATCGCGTGAGTAGAAGAGATACTTAGATCCGGCTGGATTGATCATGTTTAATGCACAAAAGTTGAAAATCATTTGGTACTCGTCTTCCTTAGTCTCGGGGCGACGTACTCGAGGGACGGTTTGGGCTGTTTCGGCGGCTGTTTCGGCCGATTCATCGAAGATTTGGTCTTTGCGAGTTTGGTAGATATTAAGAGTATCTCGGCCTTTTTTCATCTTTCGGTAAATAGTGATGAGTTCAGCTAGAGCTCCTCTGTAGCCTTCTCCGGTATTCATGCAGAAAAAATTGGGTCTATCTTTATGTGCATATCTTGTGCCTGATCTTTGTTTTGATTGGATATTGTGTCTGTAATGGGTTTTCTGGATGATTTTGGCTTCTTTTGGCTTTGATTCTAGTTTTGACTAGTGGATAGTTGAGTAATCTATGTATTTGGGCTAAAATAATCATTGTATGACTGTGATTGGTGAGTATTGGAATGTTTTGATTGGTTGGTTTGAGTTGGTAATAAAATGAAGAGTGTTTTTGTTAATGAGTATTTTAGATAAGTTGGTGGTCTAGTTGGTCTCATTGGTAAAGTCAAAGTAAATAGGAAGTCTTCTTTTTTACGAGTTGAATTGAGTTGGAATTTGTTTTGGTTTTTGTTTTGGACTTGGAAAATTAGTAACTTTCCTTTTATGGTAATTTTTGGGTTATATTTAGATAAGTGCAAGTGTACGTCCTGTCTGAATAAAGAGTTGTATTGGGTTGTGTTAGATTGAGTTGTGTTGGATTGGGATAGTGTGATAATAGTGAGTACGAGTTGGATTGAGGACAATCTACTTAATGAACGCATATTTATTTAAATCATAACAATCAAGAGATATGACAAACCGATCTAAAACTAGCTAAATGGGTAATAAGGTTGGACTGGAATATACTTAGGCTGGATTTGATTGGCTTAACATTGCTCAGTACTTTGTTCTTGTATGGATCCTTTTTATAAGGCTTAGGACGCCTTGGTAAGCATCAAGTAAACACCTACTAGAGATAACATACCATAAATAAGCAAGAGTGAACAAACTAGTAACTCCGTTGGCGTCTTTCTTCGTGGCAGTGAGTAAAGCGAAATGCAAGGAATTACATTGCACATGAGCATAGAAGCCGATCCTCCCACACATGACTGCACAGTTGTAATGTCAATATCAAACATAGCTACACCTAAACCAATCACCACCAAAAACAAAGTTGCCAGAACGCGCACACCCTTCTTACTTAGTACTTTTGAGTCGGCCTTCCCTAAAATCGTACCTATCCATTCGGACAAACAATCACGAGCCGGATAAATCTGTAAGGGATACGAAAAGGTAATCAAAGCTACATAAAAGACAAAAATAGCATACTTCACTCCACCATCTACAAACGATTCAAAAACATTGCTCTTAATGGCATCGCCATAGGTGAAATAAATAACCGTGCTAAAGACCAGATAAATTGCCATTGCGCTTCCCAGCGCCGCCGCAATAATCCGGGCCATTTTATTGCGAGTAACCGTTAGGATTTCCGCCCGAATTCCAAAAATGTTCTGGTGGCAAGTAAAGGTAAAGATAAACTGACCAGCACTGCGTATCCAATTCACTTCAGGCGTCTTTGCCCAGTAAGTGGCCGGAGTACTGCCATTACTGCTTTGGCGCACAGTCATAAAGTTCAGCACACTACCCACAATACAGACTAAAGCCCCAAAGATACCCAATACCGAAGTAAACCGCAAGCTCTTCAAGTCCCGCATAATACAAAGCGGAATAATCCCCAATCCAAAGCAAATCACTAATATTTCCGGCGACACATTCCGACCCAGCAACCCACTAAACAAATAGGCCAGCAATGGCTTAATCGTAATCAGATAAGAGATACTAACACCAAAGCATTTAACAAAAACAACGGCATTAAACCAAACGCTTAGTCGAGGACATATTTTCTGTAAAGAGGCAGAGAAGGTCTTCTCTTTACTCTGAGTATATTCAGCACAATCGCACAACATCATGAGTCCAAAGAAGGTTAAAACCGCCGAAATAAGTGAAAATACCAAAGTAGGCACAATTCCAAAGACTACAAAGAACATTGGGAATCCAACAATGCCACCCCCCACAATTGTCTTCAATAGATTGAAGTATGCAGCCACCACATCGTTCGCCATTTTAAAATACAAGGGGATGTTGTTTTGCTTTAATAGCAACTGGATTTTTTGCCCAATGAAAAGCCATTCCGAATTCGTTTCAGATGCCGAGTTGCTTAATGACGAAGATGTCTTAAGTCTTATTAAACCCGTCCGTACAACTAAAGCCCGAACTTGTGCCAACTGTACTTGTGGCAAAAAGGAGTCAAATCCAGTTGAAACTCCCAAACCAGGAGAACCACTTAATATAAATTCTGAATGTGGCCGGTGTTATCTTGGAGATGCCTTCCGTTGTGCATCCTGTCCCCATGCTGGCCTGCCGCCCTTTAAACCCAATGAACCCGTCTTTTTCAATCTAGACGACTAAGTACATCAAGTTGAGTTAGTATTGGATTGAGTTGAGTATTGGATTGAATTGAGTTGAGTATTGGGTTATAATAAATTGAGTAGTGTGTTTAGTTTAAGTGCTGATTGGGTTAGTATTGGGTTAGTATTAAGTGTAGTGACTAAACTGGATTAGTAGTTGCTGAGAGTAGACTTGCTACTATAATCCAATCATTTACCAGACCTATTATCTACTACTCTCATTGCCCTATTTAATCCAAATACCAACTTAGTACCAACTTAACATAATCTAACTCAATTAAGTTGAGATAAACTATAGACCTAAGTTGGACACTGAACTAAACACTAAATTCCCTAGACAACATAAGCTAAGCATTTATTTAAGTCAACATAAGTCAAATTGGTCCAACCACACTAACTTAGTCCATCTACCAACTTGACCCAACCAGTACATATCACATTAGATCTAATCTATGGCTGTCTCTTGCGCTTCCGTGTCTCATCTTTACGAATAGTCGCATAATAGAGCTCTAGTAAGCTCGAGCGATCACCAGGTAAACGAATCAAATTACTTGTTTCGGAAACAGCTAAGGGCTTAGCATTGATCCTTGAGCTTATCTCAAGCATAAACTGCCGTGGTGGAGGTGGTACAAAGTACTTCCCTATCTTAGTTTGAATGGCCAGCTTAATATCATTGCCATTGGGCGTACTGCGACCCATTTGCTCAGCATACAGAAGCGCATCATCCACAATTTCAACGAAATACTTGTAGGCAACCTCTAAAAACTGAAGAATAACCTTTGGCTCACATTCCTCTATTCCAACCGATCTAAGAATAAGTGAGATAATTTTGGCATCTCGAGGAGCTAAGTTATCAGCTGACGTCATAGTAGGAGGACAAAGAAAAAATTTATGGCATTCACGACATTACACTTACAATCTCTAGTTTTAAAAGGACTTACGGCTAGCCAATATACAGAACCGACCGAAGTACAACGTAAGATCATTGTTTTGGCGAAATCGCGCGGAAATATAGTCTGTTCTGCCCAAACTGGATCGGGAAAGACTTTATCTTTTGTTATTCCAATCTTAGAACGGTTATTAGAACTTAAATGGACACGGGCTGATGGTTTAGGGGCAGTAATAATAGCACCTACACGCGAACTAGCACTTCAGATCTTTGAAGTTGTCAAGGCAGTTGGCCGCGAGACGAACTTAAGTGGTGGGTTATTGATTGGTGGTCGAAGTGTGGAACGCGAGAAAGAGTGTGTCAGTGCTTTGAACTTAGTAGTATGTACGCCCGGTCGGCTTTTGGAACACTTAGAGATGGGTTGGGGATTTAATGGTGATAGTTTGGAGATGTTAGTTATAGATGAGGCGGATAAGTTATTGGAGATGGGGTTTAAGCAAACCATTAGTCGGATTTTAGAGTACTTGCCGCGGAAGAGACAAACCCTACTCTTTTCGGCTACAGCTGAAGCTATTGGACAGGCGCGTAAGCTTTGGGATATAAGCAAGCCGGAATGGGTTATTATTAAAGAGCGGGCTGAGGAGAGTAATCGGATGAGTGAAGAAGTCTGGCTAGTCGATGCAGCTCAGAAATTTGACTTGCTTTATGAGCTGACCAAACGGAATTTGCGTCGGAAAACGATTGTTTTCTTATCTACGTGTAAGGAAGTGACTTTCTTTCATGACTTATTTAAGGGATTACGTTTAGGTGTGCCGGTCTTACGTTTGAATGGGAATATGGCGCAGACAAAACGGGTGGAGACGTATCATAAGTTCTGTCGGGATGAGCCGCGGATGTTATTCTGTACGGATATTGCTGCTCGTGGCTTGGACTTTCCGGGGGTGGATTTAGTGGTGCAGTTAGATGCACCAGAATCAGTCGCTACTTATGTGCATCGGGCGGGCCGAACGGCCCGGAATGGAGCTAAAGGCCGGGTTGTACTGGCCGTTCTGGAGAGGGAGAAGGATTTATTATCAAAGTTAAGTGATCGGCCGGGCTTTCCAGAGGCTAAGGTCTATGCGAGCAAGCGGACTATTGCTGGGCGGGTGCAAGGAGCGATTAAAGCCAGTCCGGAGTTGTACTTGGGGGCACAGAAGTATGTCAAGACGTATGCTGGGTTTATGCGAGTATCTAAACATGGGAGAGGTCCAGAGGAGGCGGCGGCACTGATTAAGGAGTTAGCCGAATATTTAGGCGTAGAGGAGGACAGTAAGGTTAGTTGGAGTAAGGCCGGCCGCCAAAAATCAAAGCTACTAAATAGAAGAATCACCTTTGATGATGAGGTCGAGATAGATGAATAAAAGCGTTTATTATGGTATTGAGTTGAGTTTGGTTGGGTTGGTATTGAGTTGGGTTGGGTTAGAGGATGGCCAGGCGGGTGAGGAAGTCTTTATTGGAGAGGAAGTTCTGGTGGTCGATGGTAGTGGTATCGTTGCTGGTGGGGGGTTTGCGGAAAGTGTAGAAACGAAAAACGGTATCTATTTCCTCGACTGCATGGTTGAAGAGATGGTCGGCGGTTTTTTGAGTATCAAACATGCCAATGTCTCGTAGAATGAAGAGAGTTTTGAAAGCCATTAGTAGAGAGGCCAGGGTGCCAATATAGATGAAAAAGGTGGCGAATAAGAAGAGCAGCCATGGGAAACAGATAGACCAGAATGTGTGCGGCATGGCTTCAACTGGGTTGGTGGCGGTAGAGATGGAACAATGTGAAGTTGGGATAGTAAGGATGCTAGAGGGGCCGTGGAGAGTAGTATCAAACAGGAAGAACGCACCTATTTGCCAGGATATTTGGATGCCTAGAGCGAGGTGATGGCCAGTGGCAAGGGCTTTGGAAATAACCCAGTATCGGGTGGCAAGGGTTTCGGTAGAGAGTGTGGTGGTTTTAAAGAAGCTCTTGTTCAGAATATAGGAAAGATAGTGGGCTTCCAGTTGGTGAAGGCACAGGGGAAGAATACTGAGTCCGGAATAAAATAGTGGCGCTGGGGGGTTTCTTTGGTTAGCATTGGCTTGTTTGAACACCATAAAGACGTGTCTTATCATGGCCAAAGGGAAGATAAGAGCAGCTGCACAGAGCCGAGGGAAGACTTTGCCTGTACTAATTATGAGATAGGTGAGCGTGGCCCATAAAGAGGGCCGATGGTTGTTGCGAATGGTGTATTCGGTGTAGCGGTAACCCAAATGCAAGCCAGACAGATAGTAGAGACTGGCCGACCAGTAAATGTGCCCAGCTAGAGAGTAATAGAGCCATGGGCTAGAGGAATAAGTAAACAGACTAATTGCCATCCAGAAGAGGTACGTAAAGCCTAACAGCCATTGCCCGGCACAGAAGTACCCAAACACGACTTCTTTTCGTGCTAGCCAAGAGAATAGAACATTGGACATGCGCAGCATAAGGCCAAACTTAATACAAGATCGACTCCGGGCCAGCACATACACCAACGAGAATAGTATTGATAGCTCAAACAGTAAAAGCCCAATAGTTTTGAGAGCCGGGCCATCTCTAGCTATTGCAATCCATACTCCGCCCAGGAAAAGGATGGCAAGTAGTAGATGTCTCAACTTCCACGGAGTTGTGTGCTCTCTTTTGATGCAGACAAAGAACCGGATTAGCCAGCGATGATAAGCAAACTGATTGTAAACATTATGCGAAGTATAACAAAGAAGACAGCGGTACAAAACACCCAAGTAATAAGTCGTCCAGAAAAGCAGACCGGCGGCCAAAGCCATGGCTATATACTTCGCCAGAATGGAACCGGCTTCTAGTAGAGATAGAGGAAAAATAGCCAACCAATTAGCCACTATTTGGCCCCAAGACAAGATAACAACAGAACTCAAAAACAGATAGCATGTGGTGCCACCAAAACAAGCAACGGCATGTACAGCTCTTCCTCTTCTCTTCTGTTGTTTCTGGCGCTTAAGCACTATCTCGGTATTCGTAGTTTGGCTCGAGGCAAAAACTTTGGTCATACGGGGCACCACCAATGCCGATTAAAAGACGTATATTCGCTACTTTTGATACTGCTAATATTGTGTCAGGTTGAAGTCTGGCGTGTAGATAAAATAGTATATTGATGGAATAAAGAGATAAGATCAAAAAGATTTATTGTGGGATACCAAAAAAGAAACATTGCCAAAGTAGAAATACTAAATCTAATTCAATACTAACTAAAATCCAATTCTGAACAAGATTTATATATTTCATATTTATGCTAATCTCTAAATAGTTAAACTATCAGTGACTATCAATGAAATCACAGCCATAGCTAAGCATCTTTATTACTTTTTCTCCCACCCGCCTCGAGATCCCCAATACTAACCCGAAGGTGATAAGCTTCACTTTTGGCAATGGAGATTATCTAGGACTTTTTTGGCATCGGGGGTTTGATAGCTCCTACATTTATTAAACCGATCAAGTTTAATCACAGTAGATCAGTGGTGTGCCCTAGAGTGGCAACGCGCTGTTTCAACCAACTCTAACTTCTACCAAGAGATAATCAGATTATTCACTCTTCAGATTTATTGAATAAAGTATCAACGCTGTCTATGACGAGTATAACACCTAAGATTCCGTGTCATAACACCAAGTTAGTATCTTCTTCTTAAACCAGTTCCACTCTGTAATTATGATTTAGATTGTGTTGCCAATCTAACCCAATTTGATGGTCGTCTTCACTCTTGGAGCTACAGATGAGGATTAAAAAGATCTGTTAGTATGTGCGTATCTCCTTGAAACAGCTTCTGAAGACTAGCGTAATATCAAGACCCGTGTTCACTGGCAAAGAGTAGTAATGGTGAATGTTTTGGGCGCCGCCATAATAATAGTATGGATTTATTGCTCGTCTCTATTGTGATGCAGGCCTATGTGTTGGAGGAAATTGGCTGGCATGTTTTCGTAATGGTCACCGGATTCATATTGGCCAACAGGGTAGGAAGCAGCGTCCTTTCTCTTCTTGTATTGCGATTTGCATATTAAACCAGCGATGACAACAACCGCCATAATTACTAGTAAAACCACAATGACAATAGCCCATGATGATAAAAGGGAAACATCGTTATCTAGCTGCTGGCCATTGAAAAGAGAACGAATATGATACCAAACGGTGAGGAATGGTCTAAATAGAGCAAATTCGTTATCTATCATGGCTTGGGAAATCACAGTAGGGGCGGTCGGTGCTGGTATGACGGGCTTTGTTAGGTGTTTACTGGCAAAATCCTCGACTTCGGTCACTACTTTCTGCCATTTATCATCAGGTATATTGGAATGTTCCGTACGGATCTTGTTTATTCCCTCAAAAAGTTTCTCTTTAGTTAGAGGTCCTAATAAGTCTACTTGTGGTTCAGATTGAAGTAAAGGCATAACGGCATTAAAAAAACCGGTATTTATGCTTTTGAAAACGCAATTCCCCGATTTTTTTTGGAAAATTACCATATTGGGTAATTATTTAATCAAAAGCTTTGCAAATTTGATCGAATTAACAAATTGAGATAAAAGATCTTGATTGTAAAAAGTAAACAATAAAGAAGATAAACAGTAAATGATGATTGTATTAAGTGTTATGGCTTGATTGATATCCCATATAACAAAGGAAGGAGTAATCTTATATTAGAATTGTTTAAAAGTTATAAATATGCTAGCTTGGTATCTTTTTAGATTCTAGTGTCGGGCCGACTTCATAGGATCAGTACTGAACTAGTCGGCTGGTTTGGTTAATTGAAGAAGTTGGTGCAGTAACCAACTGGCTAACATAGATTTCGGCTTTAACTTCTGGCCTGCAGTTTTGCTTATTCAAAGCAGCAGTTATTAGTGGCGAAATAAATGTACATTCAGCACAATCAACACCAAGTTTCATGTCGGCTTGCATCTACCGTCTAGAGGGTAAATACAATTTATTAGACAGCACGCACTCAATTGAAGGCCGTCCTCGATATCGGAATAATGTCTTTTTGTTATTGTGTCGATAAAAGTCGAAAGTGTAGTTGGTCTTAATTCGAATTTGCAATGTATTCGCATTGAAATCAATAAATAGCCACTTACTCGCATCATAAAGTATTTGAAAGCCACCAACTTTAGCTTAGATGGTTGAAGGAGTATCAGCTAATAACGGACAAGCAATCCAATATCTTTTGGCAACCAAAGAGTCGTGTTGGTGTGCATATACTGTATGAGTACACTTCAGAAAGGCGTGTATTTCCATAGTAGGCTCTAAGTTGCCATTAAGACTGCTATAGCTCCCTAGGTTTCACAACCACCACTCAAATGTTTGGTTTCAAACAGCTCTCGCACGAGCTTCTAAATGTCTTTTAAGAGAGTATCAATCAGCGAGACAGGCCAAGTTATTGAATTGCTCATTCAGATATGTTTTCTCTTCTTTCCTAACCGATACAAGGTACCATAAAAGGAAATCTTCACACCAGACTCTTGAACTGCCGAGTGCTTTGCCAAGTAAAATACAGGCCAAGTGTGGTGTTTTAGCACCGATTTGCCTATCTAAATTAATACAAACAAACCATTGTTTTGGTTTCGCAATAATTTACCCGAAATAGGAAAAATAGATTCATTTAGATAGTAAGCATTAGTTTTAATAACATGGAATTAATATCAACAAAAGAAACTATAAATAGACTAGTACATTCAATAGCATCATGGCACAGAATTTAGCAACTAGCAAATGCACGGTCTATCTACGAGGGGTAGATTTACTAACACCATACTATTGGGAAGATGGCGTAAAGTTTGTACGTAGTCCAACGGCCAGCCGCTTTACTGTACGATCAGCATGGCGGAGTGAGTTGGGACCAAGTTCTCGGCTTACCATCGACCAGTGGTATCTAGATTCACGTGGCGGCCCAACTTTAGTTAAACTCGACTCATCCAAGAGTTGCGGCGGTTTAAGAGTAGTTGACCACACCCAATGGGAGTCGTGGGATGGTTTAACTGAAGAAGAGAAAAACCTCTACACATACCTGCCGGATATGGTTACAATAACGAACGACGGTTATTGTGAGCACGAAGAGATAATCAAGCAGCGCAAAAAGTTCCTAAGCCTATATGCGGGAGTTGACTATCCATTGTGCCGAGGTATATATCGTTATCCCGATCTCCGATCCTATATGACGGCCTTAACCAATACCAAACGGCCTGTCACGCCACCTACTACTATCACACCAACTACTAAAACAACAACCACTACAACAACCACGCCAACCACGCCAACCACTACTATCACACCAACTACTAAAACAACAACCACTACAACAACCACGCCAACCACACCAAGCACTACTATCACGCCAAGCACTACTATCACGCCAAGCACTAAAACAACAACCACGCCAACCACACCAACCACACCAAGCACTACTATCACGCCAAGCACTAAAACAACAACCACTACTATCACGCCAAGCACTACTACTAAA